CTTGTGGCTTTCGTCAATTTCGTCAATTCACATCCAAGGTACACACTGGATCAAAGACAAAAATTGTCTTAAATTCTCAGTGCAGCAAAATATGGGCTTATTTCCTCGTTTGGAGTAATACGTGAAACGTAACTGCATTTATGCGGTGACTAAAAAATCAACTTCTTGTTTTAAAAGGACATCATTATTTTTTCCTTGTGTCATTACATTATGTTGAGCATCTATAGTAAGTTAAACACTAAGAAAAATTTCAATTCTAACAAATGAGAATTCGTTAAATAAACTTTGAAATTATTTTCTTTTAACTGTTGCAAAGGTAACAAGATGGCAGGCCGTAACTTCCTGTTTATATCTGTGATATTCCTGTTTACCTGTGAGTATCACATAATTATATTTAGTCCATTTTCTTAAATATTTTGTTCTTTTTCAAACAGCTGTTTCCCTACAGCATTGCTAAAAGAAATGACGATCGAGTTAGAAAGCCGTATTTCAGTCCTTAGTAAAATTCGATTCGTGAAATGACATGTGGAATATAACTTTCAATGCAAACAGCTAAGTATTTTTACCCGGAAAAAAGTATTTCCAGCGTGCAAGACAGAGCAGTCAACGTGTCAACGTGTCAACTTGAGCTATCAGCGTCACTGGGTCCCAGAGCAATTGAAATTAGGAAACTAGATTCTGTAGCATGTTTTAAAAAGAACATGTTTTCCAAGATTTTTAAGAAACAACAATGTTTGCATCATTTTATCATTTAATATTTTTTTTTATATATATAAATATCGAATCTTGTTTTATTTTAAATGTTTATATATTTTAGCTTACAATATTTATTAGATTGTAAATAGTTGTGTATTTTATGAGGGCCACAAGTTTATTAGCCTTTCGCTATTAGGTGCTACCCTCTTTAAATAAAGGCTTTACTTACTTACTTACTTATTCAAACCTTACAAATGTGCGTAAAATGACGGCATAAACATGAAAAAAGAAAACACATAAAATGCAATAAAATTACTCAAGCTTACCGGTCGAGATGCAGCACGGAAACCCATCAAGTAAGGCCAGAATCGCTTAAGATTTTTCGCATAGTCCAGCAAGGCGAAGTAAGCTCACTAAGAGTAGCTTATTTTTGAAAACGATGATTCCCGATTTCTTTTTGTCGTGCGGCGCATTTATCAACCACAACCCGGTAAACAAGCCAGCCAAGAATAACAAAAAGAATGTCGATGGGTTGCACAAATGCATCGCGCGATTTATGACATACTCCTTCCCCGGACGGGCTGACACCTGATTCCCTTCCCTCCCCCTGCAAAGAGTGTAAGGGCGTACGCTACGTCATAACCAAATTTTCTCGGATGGATGGTTTTCTAAATTTTCTTACCCATGGTGCTTCGTTGGCGCGCTTCGCGCGCGGAGCTCCGCTATAATTATTTTTATTATTATCATTTTTTATACTCTCATAAGGCATGCTTTTTCAACCAATCACAGTGCGCGCTATATCTGAACATTGTTATAATTTTCTTTGAAGGTCTACCAACATCACAAAAGCTCACAACGTCAACGGCATCAGGCGTGGAAAGCACAGCAACATTCTCTATTACAGTTACACCCACTGTGAAACTGTCACCACATTACACCGAAAGTATAGTGCCTACAAAGGCTTATAGCACTCCCTCTTTCGTCTCCAGTGTTTTACCTAAAATACCAGTGAGCCAAGAAAGACAGGTACCATCATATTGACTACTCTTCAAGGTTTTGTAATGAAATTTGCTTTAAAAAAAGGAAATAAAAAGGAAAAGTGAACAGAAGGGAAGAAGGAAGGAAGGAAGAAAGAAAGGAAAAGAAAGTTTCAAAATTTTCCTGTACGGATACTTAATTTTCGAAAACCTGCTCTTAAATGATGTAAACACCCTCTCCAGGGTCTAAAGAATGCATTTACTTCATTTCTTTTATTATTTTTCAGTGCTAAACTATTCATAATCTTTCTTTTAAAAGATTCAGGAATACATCGCGAAGATAAAACAGCTTCGCATTTTCGATGGAAATTCTCTGCAGGTAAGTTATTATGAATTGATTGTTGTTTCCTTTTAGTGAAATAGAAATTTACGGTCTTTCAACAAAATGCAGTGCTCAGTGGTTAAATACCAGTAAATAATTGGTTTCAATTGTCTAAAAGTGACCATGGTAAGACATTTCGAAGTTGTCGTTTATATCGCTAGCTATATAGTTGGTGTTTGCTCCGAAGAATTAAAACGTTGACCTTTTACCATTATTATTATTATTATTATTATTATTATTATTATTGTTATTATTATTATTATTATTATTATTATTATTATTATTATTATCGTTTAGCAATTAATGAATGAGGCTGAGTATCTTATGAAGAATTATGGAGATCGAGGAGGGTGTTATACGGCCTCGACGGATAACACCCTCCGAGCTCTCCATAATTCTTCATATGATACGAAAGCCGATTTCAATAATTGTTTTATTATTTATTCAAAATAATTCCTAGTTTAATAACATGGCTGAAACATGCTTACCTCCATCAATCCATCCATGTGAATTTCATCTTCGATAGTGCACGTTTAGGGTTTGTTCAGCTCCGCAAATATTCTCCAAATAGGAGATGTCGCCCTTCGAGTTGTCTTCTTGCTGTTCTTGCCATGTTTTTAGTTATTTTTCGCCTAGTTCTTACTCTTGAAACGAGTAAAATGTCCGCCATTTTTCAAGTTCACAACCAAAAAAAAACCTGGTCCCCAGGTCTTCTCGGTTAACAGTGCATTAACCTGCAAGAAAGCTGCACTTTTGACGTCATCGGTTCATTAATCGCAAAATTCTTCCAAATTTGGTCATCAGTAACTGGTTATGGTGAATTAAACGTGTGCTTTTAGCCAATCAGAACAGGGGAAATATTTTGAATGAATAATAATATTTATTTATTTCCCTTTTCTGGCTGCGGGAGAGTGATAAATTATTCTGAATGAAAAATAACACCATTATTGGTTTCAGCTTTTGTATGATATGAAGAATCAGAATCAGTTGTGCTGCAAGATCTTGGAGGGTGTTTAAATCCACTTCGGCCGACCCTCCTCGATCCTGTCGATCTCCACAATTTTTCAGATCTTAATCAGCATGGTTTTTCTCTAACAACAGTAATTATAAGCACTTTTCCTATGCTTTTAGATTGCAGCGAATGAGACATCCGTTCTGTTGTCACAGTTTCATGGTATTTCAAATCACAAGATTAACGCAAATGTGTTGTCAGGGCTTCAGCAGCTTGAAAACTTCATAGAAAAGTACGCGAGTACTCATCTAGACACCAAATCCATCGTAAATTCTACGAGAATTATCAATGGAAAGTACTTTGGGAAGCTTTGACTTAAAGTAGAAGTAGCTATACCAAGCATTAATTATTCAGTTATCAAAATAGCAGTAGATATGCCCCAATTACTATTCAACGTATGCATTAGCAGAGGCAGATGCAGAACACCATGACAGATATTAAGGCCAACATATATTACATTCTTTCAATCCGCTATAGTTATTCCTTTTACTGCTCTCCTTGAAGTTCAGTTGTTCATTGTCGGTAATAATTATAGGAATGGTATTTCTTTTTATTATCAATCTTGATTTTCGACGTATTTGCTTATTTTGATCTTGCTGCATTGACAAACAAATAAAATGCATTAATAAGGGAATTTTTTTCACCCTCATAGTGATCATGGTAGAAAAGATTGGAGATGGTCGCAAAAGCGATGTAACATATCCTTCTGAAGATAATATGAAAGTGAAGATAATCATACCAGCAGAATTCCTTAAAACACGAGGTAGGGAGAAATAGTTCAGTGGAAATTAAATTTCCTTATTATAGTGTTTCGCTCCATGTAAGTGTTTCCGGATTCGGAATCCGGAAAACATTGTTTCGTGGAAACAGAAATTCTGGACTTTGGAATACGGAATAGAACTAAAGGATCCGGAATCCCACTAACCAAGTTCCACTGACAAAAGCTGGAATCCATTACCTGGAATCCGGAATCTACGGCATGGGAATCCAGAATCTATGAATGACTCCCTTACATGGGGCGATATATACGTACGATATGTATACCGTCTCTATCCAGCGTATTAAAGTTTGCTTAAGCCCCCCCACCCCTCCCCCAATATCCACATGTAAATTCCCTAGAGTGCAATTTCCTTATATTTCCCTAGACAGTTAGTTGGGAAAATTTCATAAAAGGTATAAGCGTTTTGATTCATTCCCATTGTGTAGCGATCAGTTTATTAATCCTCATGACCATTTCTCTTGATGATGTATGGATATACTAAGGGTTGTGAGTAGAACGGAGACCTTAAAATCACGTCGGACACTTAATGTTTATTACACAACGCTATACCCGTCGGAGAGAACAATTCATGCCAATTTTTTGGGCACATCTTTGCGAAAAGTGGGGAAATTATAGTTAGAGACAGTCGTGCAAGGAAAAGAGTTGAATACAGGGTTTAGCACTGAAGGACAGTGATTAGGGTTAAGCACTCTTTTAAAAACGGTTAGCTTTCAGGAAATAAAACAATGTAATAATCAATGCCATCTAAAGTATCTTAAAAAAGAAACCCAGTGTCGCCTGTTATAATTAGCCGCTGATGGTTTATGACTCTTATCATGTATTTTGAGTGAAGACGAGTACTGTTTCTATAAGAAAATTTTTAGGCATCCATTATAGTCACAACCATATCCTAAGGCGAAATTTTGAATTGGTCACTCTTGGGACTTAAACGTTTCACACCTACGATCATGGACAAATGTCTTGGGACACTTTTGCATTTCTGGGGCGTTTTCCAATTCACACAGGCCCACCCCTCTCCCTTACCCCATAAACAGTGTTTGTCGAAACCCGGAGGTTACGTCATGGAGGATTGAGTTTGGATTTCAAAAAACAATTCAATCAGAATTATGTGAAGTTTTTCAAATTTATTTATTTATTTATTTGAAATGCATTTTTATATTGCAGAATATAAAAGTCGAGGATACGCCCAATTGTGTCTTCTGGGATTTTGATATAAAGTTTGTATTTTTGTGTGTTTAAGTTGTGAATCTTCCAAAAATTTTCTTTCTAAAACTGTTATTTTTCATCAACTGTTATTTAATCCTTTTATGCTGGAACTGTAATGTATTTGCTAGTAAGTTGTTCACATTACCCATTATGTTAACATAAAAGATGTTAAACGTTACGTTTGTATGTCTGTCATCAAAAACTAGCCATGCTCCAGAAAAAAAAAATGTCACAATTGTCCTTTATAAACGTTTTCTAAGGTACTAAGTATGTTTACTACTTAGGTAGGGTTGTCTTTGGTTGGGTATAGGTAGCCTTAAGATTAGGTTCAGATAAGCTTTGGACAGTTGCAAGTTACCCCTATGGATCGTACACTGTGAATTGTTGATACCCCTAACTATTAACTGCTGTATACATTAATCAGTAGGTTAACTAACCGTCAGAAAACGTTTCCTAATCTTAAAAATACTTTATCAATTTCCCTTTAAGGAGTAAGTTTAATGGCTCATGGTCAAGTAGAGGATGCTCTTTAGTAAACAGAAGTGAATCTCAGGTTATTTGTACCTGTAATCATCTCACACACTTTGCTGTTCTTATGCAAATAGGAGATGATACTGAGGTAACGTATTCATTACTAAGTATGAGGCGGAAGTTTTGACATTTTGTCTAATCCGAACTTTCCTAGGATGGTTATCATTAAGAGTCTATTGGCCACTAAAAGAACCACAGAAAACAAACAAAAATGATAGTTAACAGCTTTTGGTGCAATGTTTTCTTGATTAGTTTGAGTAGACATCATTGTTAATCAAACTTCTTGTTTCCTTTGAAAACTGTTTGCGACTCATTCACGTTACTGCAATATGTTTTCCGTACAAAATGTTACGCAAGTACCTTTTTCAAGTACTCTTGGGATATTTGTCCCTTGGGAAATTGAAAAGAAATAATAATATAAAAACTGTGAAAGGTTTGAGCCCAGGAGTCATTTCAAGCGAGCGACGAGGAATGGTGACGTCAACAATCACATTGCTGAGCACCATTTACAGACGAAATATCAAATTGACTGGGACTCTGCGACATGTATAACGTATTCTACAGACTACTATCAACGTCTTACTTTAGAAAGCTAGTTACTAACTTAGAGCAAACGCCACTGAATCGTAGCCAGCAGTCACCACGCCGTACAAACGACTTATTGACGAGATCAAGCAAAACTAACTACGAGAGAACGATTGGAGAACTGACAATTTGACTAACAATAGACGACTGTTTAACTGTGCCAACAGACGGATCGAAACGCACCAATTACTGATTACGAGTCTTCATAGCCAATAACATCACGGCTTAACTGACAGACGACCAATAACATCGCGACGTAATTGACCAATCAGATCAATAACCAGAGTATAATACCATCAACTGAGGTGATACAACTCACTTTGACTCTGAAGATGACTACCGTACAGGTTGTCGAAACGTCAGTCACTGTCAACAAGAACAGTCCTATTCAGGACTACGTTCACCCGGACGATCAAACTCAACCTACTTTTTAAAGAATAATATATAAAACATTTAGTGGGGAGAACGACTGGATCATAAGGAAAGTCAAACTCGCAGTTGTTCAACCAAAATTAACGCTTCTCCAAACAGTCACCCAGGAGTCGTTGCGTCGAAATCATTCGAACCTTTCTGTTTAAAGGTTATAGAGGTGGTGGTGGTGGTTTCTTTCTTTTTGTCCTCCAGGACACACGATCATGCTGAAGTAAACATATCAAAGCTGCGACAAAGCAAAAAAGCTCCAAATTTCAATTGACAAGTAAAGCACTCAACTCAGATCGAGCATATATATGGATTTGCTTTGACAATAAGAGGTTGGATAACTAAATTGCTTAGTCGTTTGTTTAGCTGATACCTCAACGTTATTTTTACAGACCTCTGCTAAGCACCAAACAGCCTTGGAGGTCATTACTTACGTTGGCTGCGGTCTGTCTCTTTTCGGAGAGGTTCTTACAGTTATCGCATATTTGACTTTACTGTAAGTAGGGTTCTTTTACATGTGGTCGTCTTTGACTTCCTTTTCTTACAATTTAACAGCTGAAAACCAGCCCTTTGATTAACTGGTTCAATAAAGTTTTAACTTATACACTGCTTTAAACTAAATCAAGAAGACGGTAGTACTGGGCAGCATAATGGACCCATGCCTTCTCTGTGTCTTGTACTTTTCCACTTTTTCCCCCAAAATTGTTTGATTTGACTCCATAATTTGGCTTTGACTATGGCTATGGCTAAATGTCAAAACGGAACAAAATTGATCCCTTTGCTGGCCAGTCAATTGTCAAAGTATAAATGCCACAAGAGTTATCTTGAATATTTATGACCCAAAATATCTGGAATTGAGTGAGTGTTTGAAATTACTTCTAACTTAACTATAAACAAAGTTGCAATGACAAACTGCAGAGCAACACAATTTGAAAGGCGGTCTGTGGACTTCCCTGTTAGCAGAAGTCTGTCACGACGAGACAAAAATGAGAGGAAGGAGAGACCTCAGAAGTCTCTCTCCTTCCTCTCATTTTTACCTCGTAGTGAGAGACCTCTGCTATCAGGGAATCTGTGGACCGAGGTTTCCTATTTATTTTTTTTTAGGAATTTCAAGCAAGAACAATGTCAAATACGGCTTAACCTTGTCATTTCAATAGCTATTGCACAAATCCTATTTCTAGCAGGAATTGATGCTACTTCTCTGCAGGTATTTTATGATAACTAATAATGCTTTCTCTTTGTTTGTTTGTTTTACATTGTTTGGTTAGAATAGGTAGCCACGAATGATGATGATGATGATGATGATGATAATGATGATGATGGTGGTGATAATGATGATGATGATGATGATGATGGTGATGATGATGATGCTGATGATGTTGAAGATGCTTATGATAATGCCGCTGGTAATGATGATGATGGTGGTGGAGGTGGAGGTGGAGGTGGTGGTGGTGGTGGTGGTGGTAGACCTGCAAACATCAGTTATTACTCTCTGAGATATTTGTACTTATTGTGAAACGTTGTTTATGCACCGTAATCCTCACTGTTTTTAATGATTTTGCTACAATAGAAAGTCTGCATCTTTGTTGCGGCATCAATCCACTACTTTTATTTGGCTGACTTTGCGTGGATGTTAATGGAAGGGATCTATCTATATCTAATGGTTGTAAAAGTGTTCAACACACTTGTCAAGATGAGGGTATTCTACGCATTTTCTTGGGGTACGTAAAATCATCTACCTTATAGTATTCGATTGATTTCTCGGGGGCGAAGTTGAGGCCCCAAATGTAATAAATGACCCTAAATGAAGGAATTAAGTGTTACTAATACCTTTTCGACCTTAATGTAATAAAGGTCCTGGGTGTATAAAAGCTTGGTTACTATGATAACGAGGCTTGGGTGTGTAAAATACACTTAACTATAAAAAGGAGATCTATACTTTAGTACTTCTTCGTGATCATCCTTTAAAATCCTCTGATATTCAGCTACTTTTTTCGCCCAAATAAGACCTTTCTTCCCCATTTGTTAAAATATCCCATCTTATACCGTAGAGCACGAACGTAGAGCACAATGACTACTCAAGACATAAAAATGGTAACACAGCCGCCCAACCATCCCCAGTCTAACTTCTCTTCACGTTGCCCAAATATTACACGTTGTTTACTGCCCAAAGCTAAGTTTACTGATGCCTAAGCCTCGTTTTTTCAGTCTCCCTTGGAAAACCTGTAATACCCAGGAGAAACTGGAAACAATTTTTATGCAAAATTTTCGAAGATAAACAAGGTGTATAATGGGCAATGTGAAAATGGTAAATTTACCTTTTTCACATTGCCCATTATACACCCGGTCTATAAAGGTTTCAATATGGCGTGGAAAGTGAATCGCGTAGCTATGAAATTATCCCATCGGCCCGTTGCATGTTCCAGTCTCTGTGACATAATCAAGTTTAGGGTCAGTGAATATTCTATTGTGATAGGTTTGAACGCAGGAGTCATTTCATAAGTATTACTGTTCGGACTTTCATTACATTTAGGGCCAAAATATATTACACTTAGGATCGACCTTTTTTTACATTCAGGGTCATTTATTACATTTGAGGCCTCAACATCAATGTTTTAATGTGTCAGCTAGTGAAAGCACACACCTCCTTTCTTTAGGATTCCCGTGTGTTGTGGTACTGTTGTCGCTTGTTTTCGCGCACATCACAAATGAAGGCATAAAGAGCTACGTTCACAGTGATTTGAAAGTATTTTGTGAAACGTGCATCTTTCTTTTCATGATCATTTTTTTTTAAAGTAATCAATTCCAAAAATTCTTCTTTGTCTTCTATTTTATTCACAGCTGTTGGGTTTCCTTCTCTAATAGTTTGGTCTGGACCTTTGTGGCGCCAGTCCTCTTGGTTTGTTTGGTAAATATTTATTTCGTCCCCCTTTAATTTTCTGGGGCTGCAGCCTATGCCTGCAGTCTATGCTAATCTGAATAGATTTAGGAATATTATTTTCTGTTTTGTTTGTTTTATCATCTGTACACTAGTACGAGGTTACCGATGTCCAGGGAATGGTATGATTTAAAACGAAGTCTGGGTGTAATAGGTTTAATGGCAAATATCGCTTTTTGAGGAATCTTTCATTCAAAGCCCAAGTATTGGCCGTGTTAGCGAGGGCTCCAAAACCTTAGGCGTGCGCAACCTTTCATCTCGAGGGCCTTTCTATATGCGGTGAGCCATCCCGATTAGCTGAACTGGCTGATGCTTTGTGGGGCTGCCTCGGCTCATTTTTGCCTTGTTCACTCTTAGAATTGTAGTAAGTCGTGTTTATATAAGAAGGTGGGGTGGCGCGCTTGCGGAGATCCCTAGGGTAAGCGTGTCACCCCGCCCTTTCATAAAAAGCCCAACGACACATCTTAAGAGGAAACGAGGCACGAGCCGAGCCAGCCTAGTAAAGCGGGTCAGCCTGGCTTACCGAACTGACTCACCTCATACAAGACAGGCTCTAAGATATCATAAGTAAATTGAGCGTTTCGTTTTGGAATAAATTTCATCCACCCCTCCCGTTGCTCGTTTCATTACATTTCTATTTTCTTTCATTTGTTTGTTAATTTGTTTATTTTTTGTTAAAAAGCAATGTTTGCAGGAATGTTTTTTTTTCTTTTACTTACTTTTAAAGTTGCAAAAATTCCAAAAACATTCGAATTTCTTATCCTTGTTGTCTCACGCATTTAATTCTTACCTTATCTGTCCATCCATGACGTCATAATTTTATCCACGTAATTCTATCTTCTGGCCTCGGTTGTTCAAACGTTGGATAGCACTATCCAGCGGATAAAAATCTATCTAGTGGATAACGCAATTGGTTTCCCTAATACTTATCCGCTGGATAGTGATTTATCCGGTGGGTAGCGCTATCCAATGTTTGAACAACCAGGGCCTGATGTCTAATGCGCGACTTTCCTTCTTTAAGGCAGGGCCTGAGAGCATGCGTAGTTTTGCTTCCTCTTCTGGGACTGACTTGGGTGTTTGGTATTCTAAGCGTCACGGATGCTGGACTCGTATTTCAGTACATCTTTACAATCCTTAACTCATTACAGGTAAAAAAGACGTTTCTCAGTTGAACGTGTTCAAGGATACGGCGCAAATAGGAGCATTAGAGAAAGGTCTCTCCCTTTCCTTTCCTTGAATTAATAGATAAAAAATAGCCTTTATTTACGCGGTCTCCTGCCAAAATACATTGTAGATAGTGAAAGAGACTCTTTTGAAAATGGCTTTTAAGACCAAGTTGGACGGTAAGGTCGCGTACGATTTCTTGACTTCAAACAAACATAAGGCGTTTAGTTATTTGGGTTGGGCTGATAAAATGCGGTTTGTTAACCAGCATGAGCAGCTTAACTCTGTTTTTGTGACCGACGAACGGACTCCGGCAGGAGCAAAGCTAGATTTAAAATTGATATAAAAGGATAAGATACCACGCATAATTTTCAAGAGTTAACTACAAACCAACAAAAAGGTGTGCTTGAACGTTTGCTTGCAGTGATCTTTAATTTTGTTTTTGATGGTTTATTGTTTATTGTTTATTATATTTACCTGATTGAGAATCAACCTCTACATTAAAAATAGTTTTTACAAAAAATTCACCAGTTGTCTATCGTTTTGCACATTATTTTTGCACAACTGTTATTGTCTTTATTGATTTGCTGTAGGGATTCTTCATTTTTGTCATTCATGTTCTACGAAGTAATGAATTCCGTGCAGCATATCTTCGAAAAAAGCAAAAATGGCAAACAAGGAACAGCAGCTTTCCAAATTCTCGCTCAGCTAGAGACGCCTCATCCGTCTTTTCAGAAGGACATGGCATGAGCACAGTCCAAGGCACAACAGGGAGTCCCGACCCACTGTTTAGACGTCATCAGGTGTCACCAATGAGCTCGGATATTTCAAAGACTAGAGAATGCTGCCTCACGCCAGTTGCAATTGATTAACAGAGAACGTTACATCGGGCAAATTAAGATAAAATAGCCCGTAACAAAATAATCCGATAATGTTAACAATAACAATAAGAAGAAGAATTATAGTATATTTACCCACTTAACACTAAGGAGCGTACAGAAACTTGTTTAAACATGTATGTGCCTAAAGACTCTTGATGTTTACAAACAACAAAACAATAAAACTATAACAGTAATACTACTACGAATTAACTAACCTCTCCCAAACGTGTTAAACCCTGTATGTACTGCTACATTAAATCGTAACTTATACAACTAAGAATATTAGAGCATATGATTTTGCATCGATAACTGCATCGACCATGCTAGCTCAACTGAGCTTTAGTTTTTCCGTCTGTAGTGTGTTTGCATGTAAAAATTTAATGAATTTAAATAGAAAAAAAAATAAGAACATGAATAAATAAGAAAAAGGCGCTGATTGCAGTGTGCATTGTTTTTTGGGCTTTAGACATGCTGAGCACGTAAGAAAGGAGGTTTTGTCGGAACCTCCAAGTGCGATCACCCATCTAAAACCCCAAACTTTCCCTGTAAGAGTCTTACAGCTGCAATCTGTAGTAAACAACCACCTCTAATAAGCGGCCGCGACAGCTTGTAATGTCTGAAGTTTAATTTCCCATTGTTTTTAACCTCCTGAAACTGAGCGACCACCTGACGGATGGTAAGCTTTCTTTGCTCACTGTATTTTACTACACAACTCAGAGTTGACGAAGAAATTTCACCGACATTAAACTACAGTTGTAAATTCTCTACCAAGAACTAGATGTGTCGGAAGAGTTCTTCTTTTGTTCGATTCTCGTAAGCAACCAACCCCCGTAATTGCATAAACACAAAATGTTCTCTAATATGGATGTTCGACTGTACTCTTAACAAAATGCTTTACAATTTCAAAAACTTTAACACATGAAAATAGACTACCATTTTATTCTCGATTTGCATGGCACACCAGAAATGTAGTAAATTGTCCTCCCAATTCTGTTTAAGTCATTACTTGGCACCTTTATCCATGCACAGAATGCCCGTGAAGAGTTATGAAGAAGATATCAAACAAGTTTCATCAGCGAGCACTAAAAAAAAAAAAAATTCTACTTATTTATTTATTTATTTTTTTTAAACTGAGTAAAGTTTTCAAGTCCTGCCATTTCTGCCATCCTTTGCAACAGACAACAGGTAGTTTCAATGCCTAAGTTAAGTCTTAAATAACAATACTGGGTCATGCATCAATTTTGGAATGTAACTGATATGAAAAACGTTTTAGCCTTAAAAAAAAGATAACAAATAGCGTGAAAACAGCCTAAGTCGAACGCTGGCTACATAATATGTGCCACGCATGCGTTACAGCAACATCACCCGCAACAATATATTTATTTCGTTTACAATGGGCACAGAAGCGCAATCAAGCGTAAAAAAATCAATAACTGACGAACCTCACACAGACTCTGTATTGATCGAGAGCATAGATCAACTCAGGATTTACGATGCGTTTGTTTTGTTTACCTGTAAAACTCTAGAACTCAACACTCACTGGCAAGTATCAAATTCACCTTAGTTTAGCTCTACAATGCAGATGTTTTGTTATTACCAGGGCACAGTATAGCAAAATTAAACTAAGAAAGCCTAAGTAACCATCCCCACTGTAATTATTACTTCACATGCTGTTTACCCGGAAAGGAACACAGTACAGTGCAATTAGTATTTTAGCGAAAGGTTGGCTGCGTTTCTATGGCAACCTTAGTCTTTCGAGGTCAAATTTTAGGTAGTTTAAAGCTACAGTTAGAGATCTAATCAGTCGTGTGTACCAAAATAAGTTCAAATACGAGTTTCAGATTTAATAAATGCTACCACCTTTTAGCGTGTGGCAAATACTAGAACATGTTGTGTGTTCAGCTGAAACTACTACTGACACAAATCATCTAGTACCATCGCAAAGCAATCATTCCTAGTATGTTAATTTGGAATTTGAATTTGAATTCACTTGTTAAACAAAAATGTGTCAGCCCTGCACGGTTGAATAAATATGGTTCTTAAATTGTCCTAGAAGTTCATTTACATGTCTTGGAAAAAAATAACACATTTCCGTTACAACAAGGAGGAAAAAAGGCACGAGTAAGACGACACGCAAAGGAGACGCTTGGGATGATTCTGAATAGAAATTTGGCGTTATCATTGGCAATCTAAACAGAAACTAGTGACGCGTTGACGCTTTTGCCTCTAGTCCAGCTTTAACATGACATGAAACCCGGCCAGAAACTTAAAACTTAAACTGCTGAAAGGAACTGTCCATCCAATAGTATCATGAAGTGTCTACAACTTCGCTACCTGCTTGGCTGTCATTCTCTGTTTCAATTTTGTATTTTCTCCTTTGGTAAGTAGTGTTACAAAACTGCTACCTGAAAGTCTGTTTTGTGTTCAACTTGAGTCAGCCGTAATTCCCTGCAGTGATCGAGTTTGATTTTTGATACCAACAGTGTTTGCATTTGTCAAAAAGGAGTAAACAATTAACGTATTTTCCGGTAGCGTAAGTTAATGAAAATAAGGATTCGCACAGTTCTTGTTTCACCCGAGCCACGTAAATAATTATGTTTTACTGAACTATATCCAGCGATAACAATTATGGCGCTCTACATGTTGCCAGTATGCATATTAGTGTGAGATGGTTATGGCCAGAATGGAGCGGAGTATAACTGCGTTCAGCAATGGAACAAAAAAAACGATGGGTCCGATTTTAAATAAAAGCCAATTCATAGGTCTCACCTCCCAAGTCGGTAATGCTTTGATTACGTTTATTTTATAACTGATAACCAAATCAGTGAGAGTGCAAGACAAATCTCGTTGTATAATCAAAAACTCCCTTTCTCAAGACACGGCAAACCTTTTTTTGTTGAAGAAATGGTGGGAGAATTTCGCAATCCGACGAAATTAGAGTCTTCGATGCTTTATCTTTTTGGATAGATAACTGCAATGCTAAGAACAACGAAATAAAGAGGTGTAAGGCAGGAAGGAGAGATTATATTCGCTCGAGCGGTGATGAGATTGTTAAGAACTGAATTGTGTTGTATTAGGCTTGCAAATGAATTTCAGTCCTGTTCAAAAACAAAAAGGAAAGAAATAAAGAATTATCGATCTTATATTAACGATATACTCCGTTTTGATCATTTGCACGGAATGAACTTAGTATCGTCAAAAGTTAGTGGCATGATTCTAGATGTTGCTCTCAATGCACATAATTTCTTATTGTAAATTTTCTCTTATCAATTTTAATCTCTAGCTAAAGTCAGGCCGACCTAGCCAGGTTATTAAAGTGTAAATTAATTAAAGAGAAAAACCTGCCAAATCAATAACGCTACTGTCTACAGAACTAGCACAGGTGATTTATAGCTACATGTATGGCTTATTACAATTTTTTTTCATTTTGAGCGGCGGAACTTACCAGTTCAAAAAAATTAGCATAGATCGGAACAAATCTTTTACACAAGCTTTCACCTTAATGAACGTCTTTAGTCAGTCAGTCAGTCAGTCTTTAATCAGTACCAAATCATGTAATAATAAATCAATGAATTAGACAGAATCTAGAAGATATATAGTGGCTTTTGATGTACTTTAACAACCTAGGGAGCAATACAAGAAACTTAACAATAAACTCTTGCGGTATCTAGCCTTAACCTAGAAATTACTTGACATTATTTCTTTTTCTTTGTTTTCTTCGTGAACAAAATTTCTGTTGAGTAACTAGGAACAATTCCTATTGACCTATTAGAGTCTTGGTGCTGTTACTCTTTGCCGACCTACCAGCCAAGTAGTGACAGATGTAAAGGAAACCAGCTGAACAGTAAGTGTAAGGATGTGGGAGAAAACGGGGTGGCACGGATTACTGACTCAGCAAGTCTTGAGAGGGTGAAAAACATCATTTCTGACAGCGAAGAGTATTGGACTAGACTAAGGTGAGAATGACTGAGTATTTGCCGGTGCAAATTAAAATTCAACTAATCTTGCAACTGTTATTAATTACGATAACCTAGCGGCGGACAACGTTCAAGACGCCCTGCCCGGGGAGGGCGGGGGGAATCCCATGTGGCTCGTCTGAACAGTTTTAAAACGTCTCGCTCGTGTGCGTGTCTATAAATTCTTCACGTCACTGTCGGAAATTGAACGAAAATTCCTTATCTTCGTCGGAATTTTAGAGAAGGGCGATGGCGATGCGTTGTAAAGAAACCATTACAGTTCTGCAATTTCTCAGTTAACGTTTTGCGTATCGAACACCTATACATTGCCATTCACAATTAACACAATTCACAGGAGCCGGTCCACTGAAGCTCACTAACAAGAGACGTTGTCTGAAGCGCAAGGAAATTTGACGAAAATTACTCCTTCTTGGTATTCAGACTGGTGATAAATTAGCCAAACCACCGTTCTTTGTCGCTTATTCTCGGCTTTGCAGTCACTGTCGCAGTTTGGCCGAGGGAGGTTGTCTCTTGTCGCGATTTCATTTTACGCTCTGTCGCTACTTTTTGGGTCATGTCGCTTGTAAATGGAATTTACCCTGGCAGGGCCACGTTCAGCAACGACCCGCACTAATGTTGCATAAACATTACCCCCACCAGCAAATATGACTTTTAATCTGTGACACCACAGGCAAACCACCTTCTGATCGTGTGGTTGTTGTTATAGAATTATAAAACCAATAAAATTGTAAGACGTGTAAACATAACGGCGGCTACAAAATACAGTTTGAACGTAAATTTTCAATAGAAGCTCAAGTGAAGTGTTAACTTAAGGTGGATCCCTAGAGTAAATTGTCCGTGCGCAGCCTGAGCACTAGTATGGCGCCAGCTTTAAAATCCGCGCGACGTCCACGCAAAAATAAAACAAACATGGCCTCTTTGTTTCGAAATATTCCCCCCAAAAAACTTTATTAACCCTCTGCTGAAGCTCGTTTTGCAAAAAGTTTGGTTAGTGTAGGTCAAACATTTATGAGAGGAGACAATGTTAAATTACACCGGTTACAAGTCACTATCGATCTCCATAAGAGTAAACTGTATGTAAAAACGAAGCAGAAATTTTCCAAAGACTTTAATTCTTTCGCTTCAAAGGTAGACAAACGTAAAATAGTCCAAGTGAATGGTGAATGGAAACTTTACAAAGAAAACAAAGAAATAAGTACGCTAACCCTAAAGGAAGCAATGTTACTGTTTCTGTCCTTTTGTTCACGGTCAGTGGAAAGATCTGAAAGATCGAGACAAGTCCCGAACAACCACTCAAGAATGTCTTCACCGGCGGCGCTCCTCGGTCACTTCATTTCTCTTACATTGGATTTGATTAAGAAATTCTAGAAGTGGCTTTAAGGCAAGATTACAGCAAGCATAATTTTTTTTGTTTTGCCTACTCTATCACATTGTTTAAAAAACTTATCAGAAGAAAGGTTTCCTACTTAATTTGCATCCTGATCGAAGAAACCTTCCCATCGACAAACCAACATCCTTGTACTTTTTCCTTTTCAAAAGTTCTTTAACAAAGAAAAATAATTTTTGAGTCACAGATTGACCCTTGACGAAAGCAATAGTAGGTTATTCGTCGAGAACTACGGTCTTGTACGTGCAGCTGAGGATTTGATGTACTTTTTTTTAGATCGACGCCATCTTTTACAGCAGGATTTTAAAGAAAAACTTCGGCGTCGAAATTATCCCTAAAGAGGAACAAGGTTGAAAAAGTATCCAGAAGTGGGCAGGCATTTGAAGATCTGCAACCAGTCGGTACAGCAGATTAGGAAATGAAGGCCTTATCGCGATCCTTGCAAAACCACCGTCTTCATCTCCGATGACCGCCATCCGCACGAGTAGTGACCACCACGGCTCGAATTTTGGCTACAATGGTTAAGTATTTCGAAGAAAACATCCAGTGTTTGGTATAAAATTGAATCCGCTATCTCTCCTTTTTCAACTGGCGAGATATCACCGTAATAATACTGATAAACAGCTTTAACAATTGCTTTCGCACTTTTCAAAGAAATCACGTTTTTAGCTATGCGCGTTATGCGCATGCGAGCGTGTTGGCTCGCGCGCGTATTTTGCTCATACGACCTCGAACTACGCGTGTTTTCGGATTTTTGTGACGTCAGCGCAGTTAATTAACCGTGAATTTCTCGCGTTTCCTTCGGTAAATTTTTTTAAAAATCGCCTCATTTTTTAACAGTTGCAGTACCTTTGCACTGTCCTTTTCTTGTTAAAAGCTGTAAGAGCTAAACTCCTCCATTAAGAAAAGTTACAAATTTCAAAATATTGGCGAAACCGTCTTAACGACCCAAATGTTTTTTCCACTTTAAAATGTTAAGCAATATCGTTAACATGAAGTAGCAAAGTTTAAAGACATTTCACCGAGGAAAATAAGAAATATTAAGAAAAAATGATCAAAAAAGACAAAATTACTGCCTGTTTAAGGATGCGATGTTGCCATGGCAACAGCCTTAATCCAGAAAATGAAACTTGACAAAGGAGCCTTTTTACACGGTGAATTTCGAGAACCAAATCGCAAAGACAAAGTAACTAGATTTCATTCTGCATCGTATGCTAGATAGCTACGGTTATTGATAAATACTCTAGGGACCCACCTTAATGAATAAATTATCAACAGCTGACAAAAAAAAAAAAAACAAAAACAAAAACACCCAACGACAAAATGTTTCCAAATATTTATGTCGTTTTGTTTGTCTTATCCGAAATTGTTGGATTCCCCGATAGTTCTGGTCGACGGTGTGGCCGACTGGAGGGTATGAGCTGAGCGGCACTTTCTTAAAAAAGACTCTAGGGGGGCGCTTTGTTTGTATAACGAAATTTTCAGGAGACCTTTAAACCACAATCGCAATATTGGCTTGGAAATAACATTTAAAAAATTCGACCTTTGAAAATGTAGTTAATTTGGTAGAAAAACTTAGGGTATCTTTGAGGAGTGAAACGGTTTTCCAAACTTTTTTTAGCCTTTCCAAAACAAAATGGTCAACTGTCATCTAAATTAATTAATTTATAGTTATTCTAAAGTAGAATGGTTATGAAACCTGTTAGACTCCTTTGCTATTATATGTTTTTGTTAGCTTTTTTGGACCCGATCGTGTACAACGTTCAAAAGAATTGCTATCATTTTACACTTATTGACCAATAGAAACATCGCATTTATTTAGTCACATTCAGTCACAATTTGATGAACAAACAAACGAAGGATTGTGTACCGTCAGGGAGCTTCCAACATAAACTAAAGCACCGTTGTTTTGAACTTTATGTTTGGCGGCTTTCATAACCACCCAACTAAATATTTAGCAATTAATGAATGAGGCTGAGTATCTTAAGAAGAATTATAGAGATACGGCCTCGACGGATGACACCCTCCGAGATCTCCATAATTCTTCATATGATTCGAAAGCCGAAAACAATTCCTAGTTTAAAAACATAGCTAAAACATGTTTACCTCCATTGATCGCGATGTTAAGTTCATCTTCGATAGTGTACTTTTAGGGTTATTCAGCTCCGCAAATATTCTCCAAATAGCAGATGTCGCTCTTCGAGTTGTCTTCTTGCTGTTCTTGCTGTACTCTTGAAACGAGTGAGATGTCCGCTATTTTTTGTTTTCACAACCAAAACAACTCAAGCTCGTCCCCAGGTCTTCTCGGTTAATGGTGCATCAACCTGCAAGAAAGCTGCACTTTTGACGTCATCGGTTCATTAATCTCAAAATTCTTCAATTATGGTGAATTATGCGTGTGCCTTTAGCCAATCAGAATCGGGGAAATATTTTGAATGAATAATAAGAGTAATTAATTAATTTATTATCCATATCTATTATACTTATTTTTATTATATTTATATATATATATTTTCATTTTATTTCGTTTTAGCTGGCAAAAAAACCATGGTTACTGCTGGTTCCAAACTGATTTGGATTGTCTCAATCAAAAACCCAGCATAGTTAAGGGCGACGATCATGGCAACCAGGGGTGGTACTGCTTTGTGGTTGAAAAGTATAGGACACAGTTGGAAGCAAGAAAATGTTCGAAAGTGACGTTAAAATACATTTGTGAACAAGGTATTGCATGTGGCAAACGGCATTCGGAAGAGGCCTTTCCCGATTCTGCTCGGCAACGTTTGAGCAACTTTAGGCGTTTGGAGCAACCTTTTTGCGGTTCTAGCAACCACGAACAAATTTTGCCTTTCTGAGCAACTTTTGAGCAAAATATAGGTTTAGAGCACATATCAAACACGAAAAAGTCAACTATTTCATAGAAAACTTCATTTTTTTTTTATTTTTTATAAATTCATTTTTTTATTTTTTTTTTCTTGGCCAATGTTAGTAATTATTGCGAAGAATGAAAAATAAAGCTTTTAATTAACGTTTACATAAAAATATCAAAAAAATTAAGGTGGCAACTTTTGCAGTTTAGGTAGCTACTTTTTGGAGTTTTGACAATTTTTTAGCAACTTTCTGGCATTCCAGTGAGCAACTTTCCAGCATTTTACGCGCACAATCGGGAAAGGTCTAATTCGGAACGGATCGAAACGGAACGAACTTACTACCCTGGGCTGTTACAGAGGATTAAAACGATGAGTAAGATGTGGCATGTCACCCCATGTAAGGATGAATCCAAGACGAACCAAGACAGTCTTGGCCATGGATTCTGGATTCCATGCTTTGAAACTTTGAGCATAGTTATTAGAGGAGACTGGTTATGAAAAGCGGCAAACATCAATGATAAAAACAACAGTGCTGCAGTTTATGTTCAAAGCACCGTGAAAGTACACAATCCTTTGTTTTCTGTTGGCAAATTGTTAGAGAATAAATTAATGCAACGTTTTTATTGGTCAATACAATCAAAATGATAGGAATTCTTTTGAACGTTGTGCACTTTCAGGTCCACAAAAACATATAACAAAGGAGTCTGACGGGTTTCATAACCATTCCACTCAATTAACTATGCTTTGAGTTACAGGCTCTAGTGGTTATCGGGATTCCGGATTTCTGAGCTGAATTCCGGTTTTCAAAGCCCAGAATTCCGAATTCCACGAGCAAAAGTTTCAGGATTTCGGAATCCGCGCCGGATTACCTTATATGGGGCGCGGCATGATACAAATTTGGGATCATTATACGTGTCTGGGAAACTGCCCACCTACTCCTCCCCTAAGCCAACATTAACACTCACTTGTCATTTAGGGCAAAACGTTGGCTTAAGGGGGGGGGGGGGGAGGGGGCTAGGAAACGTATAACGATACCAAGTTTGTTTAATAATAACTTTATACTGTTTGACTTGTTAGCTAGACGGGTCGTTTAATTTATTGATTCATTCACGTCAGCTAGAGTGACAGGGGACTAAGGGAACATGTTTGATGAAAATCATGACGGTTATGCGGAGACAATAATTTCTTCAAGTAGCGATAATTATACTTATCGTAGCGAGATAATATTTTAAGGGTTATACTAATCTTGTATGTATCCGTCAGATAGTACAGCTGCATTATTTAAAGTGGTAACGCGTTATGGTTTAGAGTGGGGGTTGGGGGGTGGGAGGTGGGAGGAGTAAACCAACATTGAACCTTCTTCAGCTCCTGAATGTACGAATGGCTCTGATTAGCCGGTTGCCGATATTTTTATTTCTGTCTTATAATAGTTAAAGGTAGTAAGACAAACTGCCAGTGATAAAGGAGCAGAATATCAAAGTGAGGCTGACCATCATGCATTGGTACGAATTCGTGTAGTTTAAACTACCAGTTTTATGATTATTTACTTGTAGACTCTCCTTTATCATCAGAAACTGCATTAAAGGAAAGTTCTTCATTTAAAGATTCGCTAATAACTGTAACAGCCCAAATACCAGCTACTACTTTGGACGTGACCACAAAGACCGTGTCAGATAATTTAGAAAAGCATCAAACCTCAACTGTAACTCCAACAACTACAACAGTCATAAAGAACACAGTGGCGACAGCAACAACAAAAACAACAATGAAAGCAGCAATAAAAACAACAACATCGACAACAACAGCAGCAATAACAACGAGCAGAACGAATGATACAGGATCACTAAGAACGCTAATTGCTGTTAACGCATTCTTATCAAGGAGTCTGATGACAACGGGACGTTTTGGTATAACACAAACGTTAGCAGTCACAATCCCATCTGTTATCATAGAAGCTTCTGGAACAAACGCATCTCAACCAGGGAAGCAAACTCCTGAAGACATGGTATGTTCGCATCCACTCACTAGCCAATGTACCAGGGGCACCCAACGACGGTTTTCTCCTAAATGACTTTTCAGGCTATCCAGAGTATTTTTAGACCTTTAGAAATACATTCTAATCGGCGCTATAAAATTTATATCTGTTCGGTCATCCTAGGGCAATTTGAGTCTTTTCGAAATTACCAGGGCTTCAGTATTATCTTCTGGAAAATTTTAGATGAGAGAGGAAGAGAGAATTTTTTTTGATTCCTCTTTCCATCGCATTTTTGAATCCGAAAATTTTAGGTTTCCTTCTTCTGCGAAAAATAGCTTAATCTAGGGGGTAAAATGCCAAAAATTAAACTCCACAAAATCGTAGGGAATTTATTGGATAAGCTTCGAAAATTGTACATGCATGAATGGAACGGTCATCTAGAAATTCTTAGTTTTCCCCAAGGTATAGAAAATTGTAGGCAATTTGTGCTTCTCCGAACAGATATTTTACAGGAAACTGTCGTTGGGTGCCCCTGATGTACACTGTGTGATGTTGTAATATTCGGAAGAATTTTACGTAATAATAAGTGGTGACATCAGAAGCTAAACAAACTCACTGTCTGATATTCAAATTACATTTACCTCGTTTTAGTTGCAGCAATACTTTTCAGAAATGAGAGCTCTGAATGTCACAATGAAGGATTCAATACGGGTAAGATAACTGTAATAATGGTTTATAAGAGTAGGACCAATCGTAATTTGGAAGGGGACGAAGATGGAGACCATGGAGTGAAAGCCGTCAGAAATCAATCGATAAGGACCACAAGCTTTGAATGCTTGCTGTACTTTAACAAATGCCGTCGTTGATCATGAATTGTTCACTTTTAACTGAACCGAGGGTATGTCACAGTGTTACTACCGCTGCGCATGCATTGCGTAGCTACCATGAAACCACGTGCTTTGAAATCTGATACTTTGTGAGTTATGTCTTTTGTAAGCTTTGCTTATGGAACTCAAAACAGTCGGTAAGTTTTCCTCTTGTATTTCGGACGTTGACTTCGAGCTTTTGAACACTGAATTCATAGTGGATTTATGTTTTGGTTGTAGAAAATCTAACTCGTGCAGATTTGAATTCGTTTGGAACTACTCTGACTTCATTGTAAATTGGATTTGACACAGCAGTTGAGGCTGTTGATTTATTTGGTTCTGGATCTATTCGGAACGTGGAATCCTTTGTGGAATAAAGATAAGGTTTACGTAAGGAGTTCGAGTGTTCGACTTAGTTTCGTAACAGTTTTCGACTTTGGGCCGCAACACACAGTCTCTCACAGCATAGTTAAAGTCATCAAGGAAAAATCACGAGCTTTATATCGTGAACACATAAACAATATCTACGACCACTTTGTATCACAAGTACCTAACAATATTTATCACTTCTCCTTAATTATAGGATGCAGCAAACATTACCAATGAACTTTTCAATTATATAATAAGCAACCAGTCAGCAAAGAAGGGCATTAACATATTGATAGCTACTCAAGAACTGGAGTCATTTGCAGTTGACTACGGCAAGATTCATTACCAAGCTAATGGAAGTGCGATCATTTCCCAAAAATATTTTGGTGGGTAATGAATTAAACGAGAAGAGAAGAGGTTCAATTAAGCCTTCTAAGTGCATCTTATTTTATTATTCATTTAAAATATTTCGCCGTTTCTGATTGGCTCTAATCCCCGACTAAGTCTTGAATTGGAAGATAGGAGCAAATATATACCATCAAACATAAAAATCGAGTTTCTTTCTGTTAAATGATCATTATAATACTCAGCTTAACAAGAAAAAAAAGCAGACTGCGGTAATAAACATATTAAGTCTTATATTGTATATATCGTATATACTGATGTCGAAAGCAAGAACATTACTAACTAAAGAAGAGTCGCTCGCCGCCACGGTGAAAAATACTTTTATTACCTTTGTTTAAGGTATGGATATTCCATTAGTTAATTCTTTGGTTTATTTTTTATTACGTGTGCAATAAAATGCGTTGTGTGTTTGTGTGGGTGCATTTATTTAGTCAATTATACTATTCTCTCTTAGCAATGAAGATCCAACGAGTATCAACGAACACCAAAGGAGTTATCGGTTTCTCTTCAAGCGAAACAAATTTCTCTGGAGGAGAAGATAACGCAAACATTTCTATACCCTCAGCAAATTTCTTAGGAGAAGGTATAAGATTTCGTGCTTTTGATGTATTGCTGATACCTTCTTTGTTGAAGTTGTTAATAGTTTAAAACGACCGAAATGCCACATGATGATAACAACAAAAGCAACAACAACAACAACAATTTTATTTGTATTCAAATCTGATTGGCTATCAAATGCCCTGATTTCAGCCTTAATAGGACAGTACGCGTCATGCCTAAGTAATTGGACAGTACGCGCCATTAAGCGCGCTTGCTGCCACCAAAATAAAAAAGGTCTAGGAATTTCTTGTGTTTTGATTTAAAAAAAAGAGCCCATATATCACATAGTTTGTTAAAGTTATGATTAATTGGTAACTTCATGTCGTCCAATTCGGGCTGTAATCATATTCGTGATAAAACAAATTGCACTCCCGCTGCGCGGTCATCCGATTTTATTAATCACGAGTATGATTACAGACCGAATTGGATTCCACTCAGTCCTGTCTAATGCACGGAGTCTCTGTAGGTTCATTTTATCTTCAAGAACCTTTTCAAGCTTCTACGTAGCCAGGTTTTATATTGAGTTACGGCGCAAAAACAAATAAATTAACACAGAAAATTCAACGAATTTTTGAAGCAAATTCAGAAAATTTCGATAAATCGACGGACACGTACCTCATCTTGCATGACTTCTGACCACTGAATTACCATGCGCGGATGTACATACGAAAACCATTATAAATTTTGTTTTTTAATAATTAACCCTACTCTAGACAAAAACTCCATCTTTGACAAAGAAGGCGCCTTGTGATCTTGAAGATTCTTTATTCTTTTTTAATTGGTCAGTTTATCATTTTGATAAAAAATATAATATGTTCATGAAGTAAATGAGCAAAATGCTAATAATATAATTATTACTTAGATGCTGTTGTTGTGAGCATTCTTTATGATGGTATCGAGCAATGGTTCTCCGATAAAGGAAAGCTGGAGAAAGAAGGGTTAGTTTCTTTATTTTTGGTTTGTTTCTTAGTAATTTATTCATCAGTCATTCCCTTTTTGTCGACTTATATTCAGTACTTATTTATTGTTTTCCTCTCGTAAGGTAATATATTAAATTTTAAATTCTAGGCTAACACCAATCTCAACACAAGCATAATTATATAGCTTAATCTTTTTTTTTTTTTTTGGACCATATATTATGTATAGGAGCATTTTTCCTATTCAACATATATCGGGGTAATTGATGAATAGTGTATATTTTAACCCAGATCATTTAGATAATATAAGCAGTTCGAGTTAAGACGATGGCGATGATGCTTATAATAACCGAGTTTATACAGTATAGTCAGTCTGTATAGTTCACGTCCACTGATCTGGAAACTTCAAGTGAAAACAGTTTACGTTTATTCTTTTATTTATTTATTTATTTTTTTGTGTGTTTATTTTTTAGTCATTTATTTCTTTATTTATTTGTTTATTCATTTCAGCGAAACTTTAACTAACCTCCGGCTTGGAAGACGAATCATATCCAGCACTGTAAATCCAGCGCCTTCTGGTATTCTCGAGGAAAACGTCACCATTTCATTCCGTTACGAAAAGGTACATGAATGCTTACAATAGGTGAATACGTTCTTGTAAACAAAGAAGGTTAGAAAATGATTAAAAGTGGAAAGCAGGTTTATATTGGTGAAAGTTAATAGCTGGAAAGAAAATTTCCACAAACAGATAAAGTTCACAGCCTTATATTTTTCCTTTAAATCGTCGACATCGAGAGCTTACGGTTTCAAATTAATGAGTACCTAGTTGGACGAACGCTTATTATTACGGGTGACCATCTTGGTTTCAAATAGTATAATACTATCAAATAATCCGATTTGTTTTTATTAATATTAATTTCACTCTCCTTATTCCCCTCAGAAACTGCAAGATGAACACAACCCTTACTGTGTATTTTGGGACTTCAACCTTAAGTAAGTAATATATAGATTTAGCCAGGGTTAAAAGCGAAGCTCTCATTCATTACTATAAATACTTATAGTTCACTCAAACCAAAGTAAAATCGTGTAATGCTAAACGGCCAAGGCAACGATGACAAAAAAGGTCTAATTAGCAAAAAAAACAACACCTTTGCTCGTGCAGCACACTTGTTTTGTACATTATTTTCTTTGTCGTTGTTTTGGACGACTACATTGTGAAACGTTCTAGTAACATTTTATCATAGTTATTAGAGGAGACTGGTTATGAAAAGCGGCAAACATCAATGATAAAAACAACAGTGCTGCAGTTTATGTTCAAAGCACCGTGAAAGTGCACAATCCTTTGTTTTCTGTTGGCAAATTGTTACGGAATAAATTAATGCAACGTTTTTATTGGTCAATACAATCAAAATGATAGGAATTCTTTTGAACGTTGTGCACTTTCAGGTCCACAAAAACATATAACAAAGGAGTCTGACGGGTTTCATAACCATTCCACTCAATTAACTATGGTTTTATGGAGGAAACTGATGTCGTATGTTCTAATAGAAAAAAAAAAATTGTTGCTTCGTGTTCCTGTTCGCTTTCTATTTCACTGCCGCTCATTTTCACCTTACCCTCCGCTAAAATTTCTCATTTTCTCACCAACGCTTTAAAATTTTCATGTTGTGTTGCCGACGAAGCTTTTCTTATTTATTTTTATCTCTGGCTCTAGTGATATTTCTCTATCTTCTCTCTCCCTCTATGCTAGTTCTTTCTCTATTATCCACGTCAGCGTAGACATTAAAATGTAGTCGAAAGATCAGACTTGGCTTTGTTGTCGCTTTTTCTCCCTGAAAGTCCAGGTGGCCAAGGTGACCATAGCATGGACGTTTATGATCAAGTTAAACGCAGTTTGCAGCCTCTACACAAAGTAAAAAAGGTCGTTCCACATTAATTGTTTACCCTTTGGTGCGGACGGACGGGCGTACGGACTCGTGACTAGCAAAATTTCTCGGGTGCATGGATAGCCAAATTTTCTTACTGTCTTTCTTTCTTAGTTTTTGAGTTGAAAACTCGACAAGTTTACTTTATTTACCCATTCCCTCGTCGGCTGAAACTTGGAAAATCTTAACAAATATGCTGCGTATTTTTTTTTTCACTTAAGCTGACATTTTAAGCGAGAAAAAATCCGGATTTTGGAAGTCATCGTTTTGCAAAACAAGTACTGAAAACGCGTGCAAGAGTTCGTGTACAAGATAAGAATTTCTTTTTTTAATCGGTGCCATAACAAAGCGTTTTTGCGCGGGGAAGTTAATTTATAAAAGCAATAGAAAACGTTTTCCCTGTATTTGCATAACCTGATATTAATACTGGAGGGGTTGGGAGAATTCTCAACAGTTATGCAAACCCTAGACTTTGTCTCGGGTTTGCATAACTGTCAAGAATTCTCCCAGCCCCTCTCGTGTTTATATCAGGCTATGCAAACACGGAAAACACTTTCTATATATTGCTTCAACACTGCACTAGTACTTTGGACAAGCAGTTTAAAAAACCCGGCCTTAATTAGATTTAAAAAACATATATAACAGTTGTGATACCTTTTGATCATGATGCCAAAACGCCGTTTTTTTTTAGATATTTTCTCTTATCCTTCAGCTTTGAATCATACTTTTTTAGTGTAACAAGTTCCTATTTTTACACATTGTTATCACCGTTCACCAAGCATCTTTCTTTCCCTTTTTTGACGATAACGTTTAAAAAACTATACGTTTTCCTTTTGTTTGCATCTCAGATCGAAGAACAACGGTTCTTGGTCATCTGTAGGATGTAGGTTGGTCAAAAAATCCAATAGGCAAGTCACTTGCACTTGCAATCATCTCACAAACTTTGCTGTTCTCATGCAAGTAGGAGAAAACAAAGCCAGTGAGAAGGTATCCCTCTATTCTGACCTTTGACAGTTATTTTAACAATTAGAAAGGATGGTTTGTGGACAAAATAAATCCGGACAGCGTTTAAAGGTGGTGGGAATGCTTCTTACGCCGCTGTTTCAGCTTGTTTTCGCTGCTGCGGATAATCACGAACACGACGACCAATAGGACGGTGATGACTGATGATTTTTATTTAACGCGTGTTATTTTGAGTAGGAGTGCTGAAACATAGTTGCAAATACTTGATACTTTAAAATGAGAACTTGTTAATAAGTTACGCAGATTTTCTAATAATAGAATATGTTAAAATATGTAGAACTTGAAAATAATTCCCAGCAAAAATCTGCTGATATAGTCCTTCAGCAGCATGATTAAACAAAGTAAATTAAGGAATTGTTCAATTCAGGCCCTAAAATATTGTTTTAAAAATAAAATATGCACCCAAGCTTTCGCCGATCAACGGCATCATCAGGGATGATTCCCTGATGATGCTGTTGATCAGCGAAAGCTTGGATGCCAATTTTATTGTTTAAAACAGCAGTTTAAGGCCTCAATTGAATAATATTTTTATTTTTTTTTAATTCCCCAAAATTTTATAAGAATTTATGAGCCAGTTTTGCTTATTAACAGCTCAACTAGATTTTACCTCTTTCTACTCTCGGGGTGTGTTCGAATGATTGTATTTCGAAATAGAAACAAATGACAACATCTAGAAATCTGCTTAAAATAAAATATTTCGATGAATGTAGCATTCAATTGATCTAAAAATCATGATAGTGAACAGTTGTCAAAAAAACTTTTGCGTATTCTTATTCCGGCTAAATACGAACGATATTAAAACAAAAATTCTTAAGTGAGAAAATAAAGACACATTTTTTTTTGTTGTTTCCCAGCAAATTTCAAGAGACCATAAAGTAGCTTTGGAAGTTATAACTTACGTTGGGTGTACCCTGTCACTTGTTGGAGAATCGCTCACTGTTGTTGCATATTGCCTGCTCATGTAAGTTGCATCGGGAACAGCTTAGCATGAAAAAAAGAAGTATGGTCTTTCTTCTTCATCCGAGTGTTATTTAACAATTATTCCTCGAGCCCGAATGGGCTCTGAGGCAATATATATAGCCCATGAGGTCTAAGGCCGAATGGGCTATTGACTCAGAGGCTATAAGAGCGAGAGGAATAATTGTTTTAGTAAACTTCAACTAGTTGGTAAAAAATATCGAGACAACACAACTTTAACTAGCAAAACGCGAGTGGGCTATAACATATAGCCCAGTAGTAGCTCAACCAATCGGAACGGAGCATGGATAATAGACCACTAGTTGGATTTTATGCGTTTTTATGTGGCATTGTTCAGTGCCTATTTGTTTAAGCTTTTCTATTTTTCTCTCACAGGAATTTAAAACAAGAACAGATTCAAATACGTCTTAACCTCGTGGTTGCCATAGCAATCGCGCAAATAACCTTCCTTGCTGGGATTAATGCAACAAAACCGAAGGTAGGTCAAATAAAAGCAGGTTATCATTTACTCGTAGTGCCTTACGTCTAGTTTCTTGGACACGCAAACTTTCACTGATTTTGAATAGTGAAGTTTCGAATTCGTCTCGGCCACTAAGAGGCACTGAAGACTCATTTATACAGGGTTAGCCTCGACCTAAGGTAAATATATTAACAAGACCTGTGTACAACTGTGTCTATTATTTTAAACTCAAATTCAGGCACCCTCTAGCCAATACTTGTGAATATTTTTCTTTAGGTCAAGGCTAAACCTGTATAAATTACTTCATTAAAATTGCTTCTATTTCAGCTGTTAAAGCGGCAATTGCAAATTAGAAACTGGACTATTCCCACAATGCAATAGGATATTAATTACCTAATTTTCCATCTTCCTTAGGGAGTGTGTGTGTTTGTAGCAGCCATGATTCATTATTTCTATACGGTGGCGTTTGGTTGGATGTTGTTTGAAGGTGTTTACCTGTATATGATGGTGGTCAAGGTGTTTAATACAGTCGTCAGGATGCGCCTTTTCTGCATAATATCATGGGGTGGGTGCTTGATTTTATCTCTGGTAGACATAACTCTGATCGATATCTAGCAAGTACTTTGCAGAAAAAAATTCCTAGAATGTAATTGGCAAAAGTGTACAAAATTCACAGCTAGCCCATTGCCAGTATGTTATCCTAGCGATGGGAAGTAATAATTACTTCAGCCGTGTTTAGGACATCAGTATAGTCCTTTAAATTGATACCTCACCATTATGGCACCTTACCCTATTTATATACCTGGGCAGATTAAACAGTACTTAACCTATTACCAAATTAAACTTCCATTCAGCTTTCACATTCAACTTCCAACTTTCGTTTTAATTGGTAAATAAATTACAAAATATATTGAGACTGGCCTGCAGTCAACGAGGCTATTCGAGGCAGGCCAGGCTACATTAACTGCGCTACAATAAACTGAGTAAATACCAAAAAATTATACGTTTTATAGAGTATATATTTTACAATCTGATTTTCACAATAATCAAGTCTACGTCAATATAGGAGTCTTCAGTTTGAACGATATCAATGAAGTGGCTTTGATTTTAATGATCTTTGAAAAGCTTTTTTTAGTCTTCTTTTTTATTATTATTATTTGAGGTATCCCGTTCCAAATTTTGACCCCAACACGCGAGAAAGCATTTCGTTTGACATTGAGTCGGAATTCTTTAGTATGAAAATGTTCAGAAATTGAAGCACGTGCATTAAGTATGAACACTAAAAATTCTAGAGAAAAGTTTCAAAACATCTTCAGGAGCAGTGACTTTTTTTTTCACATCATACATAACAGTAAACCACTGAGCGGATTCACAATATAGAGCTTGTAAAGGTAGAATTTTTGAGCTTACAAAAAATGTATCACATGGTCGTTTGTTTCAGCAAAATATAGTAAACGCAGTGCTCGTTTTTGAAGCACAAGAATTTGGTCAAGGAAAGTTTTACGCTCTTTACCCCAAGAGATAAGACCATAAGTTAGATAAGATACGATGGGATTAGTGTCTGACAAATATTTAGGAG